GTAGCTTTGGCTCTTTGATCATACAGCGTTATGAAGCACAAATGGCGTTTTCGTTGAGGTGTAAATTTCACATTGTTCTGCAGACCCCTTCCCATGGCGAGACTGACCCAGGCGTTAATACCCTGGGAAGTAATTGTCCGACACCTTCCCCCTCGTCATCGCCACCTCTTTGGTCAACACATTCATCAAGTGTATGGTAATTAATTTCCCTGATCATCTGAGCTGTGATCAGTAACGCGCAGCAACAGGTCTGCACTTTGGGGACGACACAACAGCTTCTGAAGCTGGTCGCAAATACTCCGCTGGGGTGGCGGTAGGGGGGAATTCTGGGGGGAGCAGGGCCTTGGGGGTGAGGGTATTGTAATTATTTTGTTGGAATGTTTTGATGCAACAATGTTCATTTCTTCCTTTCGTTGTTCATGTATTTTTGTCAATTCTTTAGTCACCTCAACCTGTTTCAATGTTGTTGAAAGAGTGAACCTGGTTGGTTATTTATTGAATTCCAAATGTGTTTGATATTTACGTTAATAAATTGAATACCAGGACACTCCTTGCTTTCATTTTTTATATTATATTTTAAAAACTCAAACAAACCGGAGCTTCGTGTAATAAATGATTTAGAATGTACATTTAATAATGCCAGACGAAGAAATGAGTTAATAAGTATTTTATTCATCGTGAACGGTTTTGATGTTTTATAGGAGGAAAGCCAAACTATATGGCAACGACATTCTTGGTAACAAACACGCTGTCAACCATGTTGCTTTTCATTCACATAACGTGACAATGTTTTCCCTGTATCTTATAGTATGTTTATATATACCAACATATCAACGTATTCGATATTTATCAATTATCTCATCACTCTCTCAAAAACTCTTATTAATTATTTTGATGTTCATTCCCTCTTTCAATCCATCAATCTCATCTCGTACTTTCTCAGTATCCCCATTTATTTCTTCATTTTTTATATTCATTCTTGTCCAACCAGTTCTTTCCTTCTTTCCCATTAGTTCCTTCAATTAGTATGAGATGTGAAGTACGTGTAGAAAACGACATATATCGAGGCAGGACCTCTGGTTAATATCCCGTTTGGTTGGCTTTATACCCCCTGCGTCTTTTTTTCATATAAAGCACATGTTCAATAATCACAGAACCTATGTACGAATCACGATCAGTAAATGTCATAATTGATTTGCACTAATACCTGCTTCACAACATTAATAAAACATTATCACCAAAAATTCACCCTGACTACTTCAATGCATTTAGCCCCGGGTTTAGTTTTACTATTCATATTTTTTAGTTATGTTTTATTCATAGTCACCTCCTTTGTTATTCAGTGTTTTATTACATTTCAAATGACAAATGCATACAGATCTTATTTTAAATATAATGTTTTAAAAAGTCATTTAAACTTACCTGCAAACTATTCAGCATCAATATTTACCCCATGAATGATGACACCTTACACAGCGTCTGAGTTTTAAGCATATTTCATGCATGTAAAACATGCTTAATTAATATCAATAAATCTTAGGGAGGACGTTGACGGCAAAATCGATTTTTAACAAGTGGGGGCATTTCGCGAATTGATATTGAAATTGACAACAGTTATTTATCACTCTGACATTAACACTGTATTCATATATTTCAACCATAGGCATCAATGATACACGATCCTGGTCGCTCACTTATTAAAACATGGTTCATAACGGAATTGTTCCCAATGGTAGCAGTTTCTCGGTAGTCGCAGTAATTAAAATAACCGGTAGCAGTGATTATTAATTTTGAAACTTGATCTCCTCTCCGCTGTATTTCACATGGATTCTATTTCATGAAGCTGAAATGGCTAGGGTGGCGTTTCTTGAGTTGTTAAATATACGCCAGCATGCGTGATTTGTGCTCGTAAAAGCTCCAACTTCACATTGTTTGAATATTTTCTTGCTTAAATTAACTATTCATTTTGCGTGTGAGTCGACCGCGCATTTTTCTCTGTAGCATAAATCCTCTAACGAATTTCAGATATTATTCATAACTATGTCTTAAGTTACAACGGGCATTGTTTTAGAGACATTGCGTTCATTTTTCTGTGTTGTCTTTAAAATCGAGTTCCCAAAGTTAAAACGCTGTCATGATGGGGAGGTTAGGACTGACTATCGACCGTATCTGACCGCTGACCGAATGTGTACTCTTATTAATATCATATCGCAGGGCAGTGATGCACGTGTTCACAAAACTTGTCCCATCAGCATCTTTAGACTCAAGCAAATGAGATAGGATTTGTAAAAAGATGAATGTCGATTGTGACCACTTGATATATCATCTATCATATATCATCTATCATATATCATATATCATATATCATATATCATATATCATACAGAAATGAATACGTAACCCATATCAGCAGGTTGCGATGACATGTCTTTGAATATACAAAGGTGCATTTTTCTTATTCCATTCTCCATACGCCCTCGCCTTCGCCCATTTAAACACCCCTCCCGACACGTCCCCACTTGTTGGCCTCCACAGAATAATTAATACTGAGCCAATGTAATTTCTGGTGTTATCAACTAAATCGCGACTCCCCTTGAGGGATTAGCGAGAGATGAATAGTTAAAGCCGATAATCTACGGGCCTCGTTCCCTCGCATCCCCATGTCGCTGGGGAGAGACGTTCCCCAGGCCGCAACTTTACAAGAGAAGGGGGACTTTTAACCTGAACATGTAAACAAACTCAGATCGACCATCATGGCTTCAATTCCGTTGAAAAATCGATATTGAGTGCGATCAGATTTGGGTCTATAGAAAAATAGTGTAGAGACGTTAGGAGGCTGAACGTCGAACGACATATACCAATGAAGGTGTGTGGGGGGGAGGGGGGAGGGGGGAGGGGGGGGGGGGGGGTTGACAATTGTTTTGTAAGGTCTAGCCTTAAGAGTTATCCCCGCTAGCTTCAGCTTCGTGTCAGACAACCAAAAACTTGAACAATATTATAATACGTCAACGCTGTATTCAATTTGTGTACTCTAATATACCGTTGTTCTTTGAGCTTAAGCGTATGTGATGCGTATTTATTTGGTCATCAAATGCACACTGTCTGTTAAAAATATAACTACATGCTAGGAACGACAACCACGAACTATAAAAAATAATTATCAATCATTAGTTATTACCTCATGTACACCAGTCGAGAAAAGTATATTGTGTCATTTTAACAGGTATACACAATGATGTAATGATTTAGTTAAAAAAAACATTGGCTGGTACAATGCAAAGTTTTTTACGGCAGTCAATCAGCAATACGTGACGATAGAGATGCTTATTCCAGAGTAAATAACTTCATCTATAGAATCAACTCGCTAGAAATTAATATCAGTAACCACAGGTGGCACTGCGATCCTCGAGGTTAATTCATAAATCGAACAGAGGTTAATAAATTGGCTTAAATGATAAGGTTTGTGTTCGGACGGAGGAGGACACAATGCTAATGTAATCTTTGAATTAACCCTAACGGGTCTGTTGTTTATTGGGGGTATTTTGGGTCAAGTTGTTGCCCTGTATGTTGTTTGTGTTAATATTGGACATGAATGAATGAATGAATGAATGAATGAATGAATGAATGAATGAATGAATGAATGAATGAATGAATGAATGAATGAATGAATGAATGAATGAATGAACTACATTTCCTTCGTTATGGTGTAAGCAAACTGCATTCTTTGATGTGTTATCAACAGTAATCACACTCAAGCATGCCCATTCACCAAAGCGAAACGTACGGAAGTTAGAAGCGAGATAAACATTATTCATTCACGGTCGAACTTGAAAACATCGAAGTAAGAACTTCTTCAGATGAAGATGTCACGGCTGTCTGCAGCCAGTGACCATTTTCTCCCCATTAAAAATATTCTAATAAAGTACCGTCTTGATAATTTCACAAGACACTTCATGCACAGAACAGATGACTGATTTCACAATCTCATTTTGCCCGATTCAAATGAACCAAATCATAATTAAATTTACCTCATGGGTGAAATAATTAAGTCAACAACACAACACATTATTGATTTTTACGTGCATTTCACTCTCAAATTTCCGTTCTGCAAACATTAATTTTAATTGAACTTTTCCCCAACCTTGTGTGATTTATTGATTTGCTTCTGAAAAATAATGTAATAATTACCAGCAGTATGGTAAACTTAATTTGCTAGTCTGATTTTCCATTCATGGTTGTTTATTTTGAAATATTGTAATCAATATTAGGCTTATTGCACTTTTAGTACCTTCATATTTCATAAATAGTAAGTTTTTATAATTCGATAAAATTGTAAACTTTGAATATAAACATTAATATCCATTGGATTGATCCTCATTGGGACGTACAAGCTCAAACAAATCAGAAAGAAAATAACAATATCAAGTATGTCATATTTCGTGTTATTATATTTCAGAACTCTCACAAAAGAATAAAATCCTACTTATCGTGAACAATATTTTGTAATTCACCAGTAAAGATATACATATCATCAAACACACATTCATTATACGCTGCGTTTTGTAATAGACAATGTAGAAATAACCTCTCGGCCCATGTTCTACAAAATGTCTTGATATTGATCCTTCAGCCGAATCGGCTACTGTTGTCAATTTCATTGTAAACGTTATCTGCTTTTCACAAAAATACAAATGATAATCCGTAATTGACTAGAATACAGACGCTGTTCACTGGTCCTAAGCACGTGTGGCGCATCCGATTCCTATTTTCACGCGCAACAATGAACGTAATTTTGTGTTGAAAAGCTCGTCATAGGTGTAAGAACGCATCTGCATTATCATAGGTGTCAAAAAACTTGCGGCGACACAAGCAAGGAAATTCAGGAACAGGAAATTCATTGTGTGGGACTTGGATTAGTCGACTGGGGTCTTTGAAATAAAAAGCCCAAATGTATCGCCTCGAGCTATTTGTTTATCCAAAAGCAAGTAGCGACAACTTACCTGTTTTTCTTCCGCTAGTTATCCGTTTCCGGTAATTAATTTTAAGATTATCCTCGTGCATGTTTTACTGGTAGATTATCTATCGTGATCCATTGATATCGTGACACAGTGTTTCCTCCTTACCCCGTCTTCCTTGTAATATTCGCGGAAATGACGGCTCCTCTTTGTAGTTTGTTTATCAGATAATTTTCAAATGTGTTTTTTTATTGGGTACACAGTTTACTTTTCCCTTTCTTATAATAATTATACCCATGATAACAATCTTCAGCGTTTGTTAAATATCGTTTTGTTTTATGTCACAACGATTGAATCGACACATTTATTGAAGCATATTAACCTTTCAGTTGGAACATGTCTTGCGAAGTTGTGGTTTTAGTACACGGAAAGAAAAATCTACAGATGTTTACATTTTAAAAACATCGTTAAAATTCATCCCCATATTCAACCATATGAATATATAAGCGACGAACATAGCTATGTCAACACGAAGCCATCATTCTGCCTTTGATAAATTGTTGAAACATGTCCATACATTGTACGAATGATTATTGTCGGATGTGAATGAATTGTTAATAGCACAACAATTAAACCTGTAGCTAAATAGACAATCATGGCGAACACTTTTGAAAATATGTTTTTCTGTGACATTGGGGCCCTTAACGGAATCCTGTCTATTTCAGAAGCCCTATAGCATGTGTCGACAGTGGTAATCCTGTACCGCTGTGTGTAGCGACACTGTCCTTGTGATATAAACAGCGGTTTACTTGATACATATATTGTTTGTAACGTGACAATTGTCTGTCTGATCGCCAATTATTCTTTGTCACTTATTCAATCGATTGCATCAACACATTTGTTAGGTACATGGCGATCCCCTTTCAAAAGCGCTTGTCCTGGAATAGGTTTAATCGCATTGATATCTGTTACAAATATCCAGAACTCCTAATGTGGAAAATTCGCCTTTCACTACAAGCGCTCCTAAATACATTGAGAGAGCTAGCATCGAGCGGGCTTTGGTTTTGAAAATATTGTTTTGACGGGAGAAATGGACTAGATTGAACAGAAGCCGGCCTATTGAGTGTGTCTATCTTCTAGTTCTCGATTGACACGTTTCCTAGGCAACACACAGTGGGGACAAAAGCCCCGTGCTGTGACGTCACTTGATTGGCACGGGATTTGAGTGCTTGTTTCTCTTCCCTCGCCTGCCACCTGCGAGTAGAACGAATGGTAATCCACGATTCGCCCGAGATCCTGTTTTGCCCGAGCGAAGCATTCAGCCGTGGCTCAGCGAGCGTCAAGCTTTGCTATTAATTAGATTTACTCCTTATTTCGGGAAACGGACAAAAGCACGTATCGTACAAGCCCCGCCTCCTTCTTTTGAGAGGCTCGGCTAAGCCCCGCCTCCCATCGTCATAGCCTATTGTCTAGCGTAGACCACTCGCTGAAATTACCGTCCATCAAAACTGTCACTCTAGTCGGCTCTGATTGGCTACCGCGGAACCCTATTTTGCGCGCTTGATCAATAACAGATGACTGTATGGGATATTAGAGTAAGAAAAGGAGTGTTTCTCCTCAAGTGTGGACGTTTAGATCTGTGGTGAAAGCGGCTAAGATTTGGCACATTATCTACCGTCACTGTGAACAGGACACACAGAACAGTATTGACTACCTGAATCGCTGACTGTCAGCTATAGTGAGAGCACAGTCCGGGTACCAACTACCGGGTGACACTCTAACAGCGTGCATGTACGTGGAAACTTTAGATCGCGGAAGAAGCATGGAAGTCGACATGAAGCCAGCGGGTCCTCCGCATGCTAACACTACCCTACCCCCTTCGTCTACCCCACAGCACAGCGGCCAGGGTGTGAACCCAGCCCATTCGCAGGGACAACCTAACCAAACTCAAAACGGACAATCAAATACTTCGCCCAATGTTCAAGGTAACAACAACTCGAACAGCAAAGCAGTGGACAACAGCCGTGTTAAGCGGCCTATGAATGCTTTCATGGTGTGGTCTCGTGGACAGAGGAGGAAAATGGCCCAGGAGAACCCCAAAATGCATAATTCGGAAATCAGTAAGAGACTTGGTGCTGAATGGAAGCTGCTATCTGAAACGGAGAAACGGCCGTTTATTGACGAGGCGAAGCGCCTCCGTGCTATTCACATGAAGGAACACCCTGATTACAAGTACCGACCAAGGAGGAAGACAAAGACTTTGATGAAGAAGGATAAGTACGCTCTACCCGGAATGCCAGGTAACCCCCAGATACAACAGGTTGGACGGGAAGCTGCTATGTACCCCCATGCTATGAACGGCTATATGCCAAACGGGTACCCCATGATGACCCACGACCCTAATGCCTATCACCAGCAGATGACGGGTCACATGGCTTCCTTAGGGGGTCAGTACGGGTACCCCACCCAGCCTATGGCATCTCAGATGACCACGGGATCGTATATGAACGGAAGTTCAAGTTATACCATGTCGATGGCACAAATGGGACATTATATGCAGCCATCTCAAGTTACCCCCAACTCGATTAAGAGGGAAACGAATACCCCCGGGCAGCAGGGGATTGGGGCACCTACCTCAGGAAAACAGTACCCAGAAGACCTCCGACAGATGATCCATATGTATCTCCCAGGGGATGGAAGTCATCCCGACCAAAGTGCCGCAGCCCTAGCGGCACAACAACGTCTACAACAGATGCAAGGACAATATGCAGGAATTCCGACAACGACGGACGGTTCTGTTAACAACACCGTTCCTCTCACGCATATGTAGACAATTTTTGTGAACCTCATAAAAAAAACTTTGGGCCATGTGGCCGATACAAGCCTGCCAACCAGATCTGTTCCGTGGAACAGACATGTTTTTGCTCATCCTCACCATAAACTGTGCTGAGACATGTGGTGTAAGCCACGAAATCCTGACTTTTTACAAGAAAAATGTGCTAAAGCGTTTCCTTTGATTCAAGGAGGTGTATTCTGTGGCGGAGTGGAAGCAGTTGTGTGACGTAGTGAGTGACTTTAGAACCATAATCATGGTAGCACGAATCACGCCCCCAAGTTTTACAATGACATTTTAGTGATATGAAAGTAGCATAATATGTTTTATTTTCATTATTTTTTTCTTTATAAACGATTCATAGTTTATGAAAAACTCAGTCATTCCAAGAGCGAAAGACCATTGTTGTTTATATTTCATAATTTTTGAAGATTTTTTGTACCATTTAATTGTTATAAAATGTCGCCTTGTATAGATAAGAAGTTAGATATATATTGTACGTACTTGTTCGCAAGCGCCATTTGCAACAGTAGGACAAAAGTGAACGACTTGCGTGAGTTCGGTCGCTGCTAAAAAATCGCCTTTTCTGACATGAACATATCTCTCAACTGACAACAATGTCAACTAATTTATAAGATATGATTTATTTATGTAAGTTCATTTCTATTTATGCGTCAGATTTCTTTATTACAATATTCTGTTTGAAACCGGCAGCAAAAATATCAATTCTCACCTGTTCATTTTTGTTTAAATTTGGCTTTTTATTGTCGCCTATTCATTATATGTATATACAGCACAATCATTGTTAATTTTGGCGCATTATATCTTCTTTCTTCCCTGGTTATGAAACGTAAAGACAATAAACACGATCATCAGGGACCAATTTCTTTGTTCCTATGTATAACTAGTTGCAGACCCAAGGCGGAAAAGGATCGCGTACTTAGTCACCGAATTTCGCTTTGTTTATTCAGTGCGAAAAATTGTCTTATCATCCCTGCTTGTCAATATAAGGTTGGAGAGAGGTTTGGACCGTCAACTGCGCATAACGTCTTTCGTCTGTTTAAGTAGCAAATGTCATATGTTTAGATTCAACTTGAAGTGGTTTGTTAAAAAACTTCGACCGCTCCTCTCACCGGAGACGGTAGGATCAAATTTTGTGATCGGAAATCGAAATGGGAGCATATTTTCACTCAAATTAGGTCAGAGGCACGGCAAGTTGTTTTCAACTTTGCGAGGACGGCGTGCGTTGGATTAAACCTTTGATGTAGCCTAGGTTACAAGGAAGGGAGGAAAAAATCAGGTGTACATTTAGACTTGTACCTATGTCAGGTGAAGTCGACGCTCTATGCTTGATTCATCACGTTCGTCTAAATTCTCCAAAGGGTGTTTCCTTGAGAGCAACTGTAGGTTTTCCTTTACAAAGTCCCCGTACTAACCTGGAGTGGTAAATCTTGTATATTTAGGTCGCGCTTTTACATATTTGTGTAATTATTTTCCAACAAGTGTAGATGTAGATCTTTGTATGCGCCTCGGAGGTAGGATTTGAAGGCTTTTGCCTCGCGGCAGTATATGTAATAACTCGATTTACTAGCGGCAGGTGTAATAACAGTGGTAGGAATTTAATTACATCCTTTGTTGTTGATGTAGATAACAATTCACCTGGAGCTATGCTTAACGTTCATGTAATACATTTCATGTCGATTTCTCAATCTGAGAAACTTACATCGTGTTAGTTGTTTACCTGGTGAAAGTGACATCGCAGTCAAAGCACGTGCTTTAGCCGTCCATTGATTAACGATATTTGCATTGGCTTTGCTCTTAATATCATCAAATATCGACGCTCGACTGCCTCGCGCAAAGAATTTAAATTCCCCCCGTAGTCATGTGTTTTAAATTTGAAACCCTAGAATCTAAAATCTGTTGTGACATTAGAGAAAAAACTGTCAAATTGTTTGAACCTTGATTCGCTGACGTTAACGATATAGTCTGCCCTCAAAGTTTTATTTTGAAATCGGTCACAGGTATCTGTTGTCTTTACAAATGGATGTTAGGGGGCTTTCAGAAAATTAAACGTATGTTTGACACGCCAGCGTGAAGCACTAATTAGATGTTGTGGGGTTTGTCATTAGAATAATGGTCCGTAATCGATCGAAATTCAAGATTCGGTTCATTTAATCCCGTTTTTGCTGGCCTCCTAAAACAACAGCCAAGCGTAAGTAGGCCCCGCTTCACTTCACATGTCGATTTCATTTGGGTAATTGATAGAAATTGGAACGGCGGGATACAATTGGTTTTGTGTTTTTTCCCAGGATCGTAAACCAGAAAAGGATTCGTTTACGGTTTATGACCGAGCTGAAATGAATTTGACAAGTAATGTCAATACGATATCTACTTTTTAAGCCTCCTCCACCTTATAAAACAAGCATTGGCCCCATGTGTGGATTTACTTCAGCACGTGATCCCCTCAAACTGACTTCTCGCGTGCAGTTCACGAGATGAAATCGACATGCCATGGACATCGCACGCAAAGGAAATTGGCGTTAATAGATTCTCTTATCTTTACGATGCGTATTTCCCTCTTTCAAGGATCTATCGCTGCATTTTAATGCAATAACAACAGTAATTACAACGACAAAGTGATACAATTTGTTAGATTTTAATATTTTATGTAAAATCTTTCCGCAGAATGATTGACGACTGTTTCCATTTGGCGAGACAAGGTTCCAGTTCTCGCTCATTTTGTTCTTATTAATCACTATTGTCTTCCTTCGATTAAATAGCATACTTTCGCAGATTATATAAATACTTCCGAACTACTTTTCCAATCGTTCAAGGATGTTTCAAACAATTGAAATTTACGCT